GGCCAAAGCTTCACGCTTCTGTGCCTTGTCCTCCTCTTTCCTGGTACCGGAATTTCGGCGTTGTCTCTTCTTTGGCTCTGCTGTGTATTTTTTCTTCTATTTGAACCGAAATACTACACGAGGAACAAAGGAAGAATCTTCTGTACCTGCGTTTTTGTTTCTGTTCATGTTTATCCCCTTCCAGATCTGTCTTTATGCAGTTGCCATTTCCCGTTATTCCTTTCATCAACACCTTGTTTCAGCTATTTTTGTTTCCTTAATGCTGTGACCTTTCTGGCTTTATAGTTGCTCCTGCCCCCACACTTTCCGAGATTGTTGCTTGTGCCTTCACCTTACTGTTTCCCGCACGTTTGTCCTTGTTCCAGTCCGTATATTTGCCTTTGCTTTCTCTGCATATTTTTTTGCGTCTTGGAGCCCTTTAATATGTCCCTCTACTGTAATGTCTCTTCATGTAGGTGTGCACTTACGTGCAGTGATAGAGACGCATGCATGATTCGTTACGTGCTGAACAAACGTGAAATTAATGTACGTACATACAAAAGAGCGACAATATATTTGTAGGAGCAGTTGCATACAATGCATTAAACATAGATATGAACTTGCAAATACCTCGAGGCATACGTGCATGTCTACACTAGCATGCACGCATGGACAAGTGCAGAAAAGAGTTGATTTTCGCTTTGCTACAAGCAAATATATTTGCGCACACTCGAGACAAGCAACTGCATGCCTACATATATATATATCCATACGCGCACACGCATGTGTGCAGACACGTCTGATGCCATCATACATGTTTATGTCTTACGTAATCATATACATACGTTTGAGTGAGTCTACATATCTGCTTTCACACTTGTACATGAATTCGTATTTGCATGGGAACTGTTCGGGAATGAGGACACATACGTTTGAGTGAGTCTACATATCTGCTTTCACACTTGTACATGAATTCGTATTTGCATGGGAACTGTTCGGGAATGAGGACAGAACCAGCAAACCTAGCCTAGTGCGATTCGCTCTAACTGCATACGGTCACAGCCATACTCCGGACCCATCTCCCTTGTAAATTGCATGCAAGACGTTTTGGTCTTATGCTGTTCATAAAATGACATTGTCTCCTGCATCAGCCGGTCAGCAACGCATCGATAGCCTCAGCGCCAATGCCCACTTCCCCAATGGGGTTGCTGGCGCTGCTACTGCACCTTTCTCTGGCCTCTGCTGCCATGCGAGCAGCGAGTGATGCAACTGGTGGCAGTAGCAAACGAAATACGGGCGACTCCAAAGCAGCAGCAGCAGCAGCAGCATCACCGTGCTTGAAAGCGTCTACTGCGGCAGCACCGGCAGCAAACTCGGGGCTCCCCAGAAAGCTGCTACGCAGCGCCTGAATCAGCACAAACAGTCACTCTGAAGCAATGACAAGTAACCCTTTGAGCAAAGGACGGAACCGTGAATTATGAACCAATGATCAGCCGAAGCGCTTCGACCCTAAGAACAAAGTGAGACGGGCTAGAGCTCCGCACAACGATGCCTTCCCGACAGTGCACTGCCAGCTACTTTTCCGTTTCTCCGACGGCTTAGAACTCAGGGCTTGTGCACCTAAGTGTCTCCAGGCACTTCTAACAGTGTATGCACCTATTCAGGGCTGCTCATTGCGTTCAAGCGTTCTAAAGGGCTTCGCAGCACGTGTCTAGCTTAAAATTTAGTATTCGGGCCCAGGGTCAAAATTTGAACCTTGGACCTTTGAAATTAGGGCTTAGCGCTTAGGTTTTGTTCCTGTGTTGTTTACTTCTTGTCCTGAGAGTGTTCTGTCTGCCATTGTGTACTGTTCGAGCGATAAAAAGAGAAGCACAGCAGAAAGAATTGACTTGTGTACCCCATTTAATTTATTCAATTCAAAAAGGCAATTGGCCCGCCTAAGAGAGACAGAAATAGCCTGTCGTATTTGTCCCATTCGGACGAGCATGCAAATGTAGTGTTTGTACACCTCAGCAGTTTCCTGCTGCTTTCCGCTGGCTGAACGTAAGTGCAGCGCATCCTCGTAAGCTGCTGCCGCTGCTTCTGCTGATTCTGGAGTTTTTTCCTTCTCCCGTGCAGCTGCTATGCGCAGCAGTAAACATACAGCAGCATCAGTTGATGCAGCTGCTTTATAGTGCTTCACTGCCTCGCTGTAGCACTGGAGCCCCTCCTCGTATGCTGCTGCAGCAGACGCCGGGATTCCCCTTATGCTACTGCTCTTGCTGTTGCCGCTATCGCTGCTGGTTCCTGTGTTGTTTACTTCTTGTCCTGAGAGTGTTCTGTCTGCCATTGTGTACTGTTCGAGCGATAAAAAGAGAAGCACAGCAGAAAGAATTGACTTGTGTACCCCATTTAATTTATTCAATTCAAAAAGGCAATTGGCCCGCCTAAGAGAGACAGAAATAGCCTGTCGTATTTGTCCCATTCGGACGAGCATGCAAATGTAGTGTTTGTACACCTCAGCAGTTTCCTGCTGCTTTCCGCTGGCTGAACGTAAGTGCAGCGCATCCTCGTAAGCTGCTGCCGCTGCTTCTGCTGATTCTGGAGTTTTTTCCTTCTCCCGTGCAGCTGCTATGCGCAGCAGTAAACATACAGCAGCATCAGTTGATGCAGCTGCTTTATAGTGCTTCACTGCCTCGCTGTAGCACTGGAGCCCCTCCTCGTATGCTGCTGCAGCAGACGCCGGGATTCCCCTTATGCTACTGCTCTTGCTGTTGCCGCTATCGCTGCTGGTAATGTTGGCGTTGCTGTTGATGCTGTTGTTCATGCTGTTATTCATGCTGTTGCTGGTGTTCCTGCTGTTACGCCGTGTTGCCTTTTTGTGCAGGACCAACAGTTCCCCCAGCTACAGCACACACACCCGCAAACAAGGGCACAACAATATGAATGGAAAAAAGGCGAGAACTTTGCATAAAAGAAGATAAGAGTCAAGGAGGAAGAAGCACGGAAAGGAGTGAAGATGTTTGTGCATTTGTGTGGAAAAGCTGATCAGTCCTTGCGAATAGACATCACTGAAAACGCATACGCACGTGCTCACGTTGGCATCAGCGTAGAAATTGTCGGAACAACTTTTGTAAGCATAGCCCACAGAACATCAACTTAAAATAATAACCATACAAATGGCAAAAATAGCAGATTTCATGAAAACCACAACGATAGACAACAACAGCGGCGCTAATATTGATGTAACACAGATATTTGCTTGTCGTTTCACCCAGATGTTCTTCTGAAAAGAAGCCTTAATGGATATAACAGAAAAGGAGAGTCTGAAGCAAATGCAAGGGAGCAGCAATGCAGCGACAAAGACAGTCCTGACATCTCACTGCGTACATAAAGGGAGAAAGATGGGCACAGTTTTATTTAGATTAGCAACGGGCTCGCTTTAAAAAAGCGCAGAAAATTACATAAATGAGAACACAAACAAAACAACAACACTAACGGCGGGTATTCAGGCCCGCCTTCTAGTATTCTTTGGGCCGAGTTGTGACCACGTAATTGCGCTTCTACTTGTATCGCTGGAACAGAAAAGCTACAAAGACAAAATGCAAACATAATTAGGATTGAAATAACGGATGCAAGGATAAACAAAAAAACTACAGACTGAAAATGCATATATAATTAGGATTGAAATAACGCATGCAAGAATAAACAGAAAAACTACAGAGATAAAATGCAAATATAATTAGGATTGAAATAACGCAGGCAAGAATAAAGAAATAGTACTAAAAGCGATAAGCGTAAATGAGCCCAGATATATTTACTAACTCACTCTTTCGAGTATTTTCCCCGCCTGCTTGTGTCTGCCTAAGTGTATTTCTGCTTGCGCCCATAGCCTGAGGGCTTTAGCCTCGTTTGTTGGTACTGCGGCCGCCTTGAATGCATCAGCAGCAAGAGATGATTCGAAGGAGACAGACGACCAATCAGGGGATAAGCTAAAAAATAAAAAATAACGATTTAAGGAGGCTAACGCCCTTTGAAAATGATACTCCCCTACTTCCATCCCTAGGGCAGGCGATGCTGCTGCTACTTTTGGTGATGTGGGAACTCTCGTCGGAGACCGATTAACATGCTGGTGCTACGGCTGGTGCTGCAAGTGCAGCCGATACTTCTCCTGAAAGTGCTGCTCTTGTTGTCGCCGCTGCATTACCCCTCTTGTTCCTGTTGTTGCTACTGCATCAAGAAGGGTCTGATGAATTAAACAGCAGCTCTGCTGCAGTAAAATTGTGGAGTTGAGGGACAACAGGTTATTTGCTTCACTGACGCCGTCACAGCGTGTCGCATTCCCCAGCAGGTGCTGCTGATGCCAAGTGCTGGTGCTGCTGCTCTTTCTGGAGTTCGCCACCTTGTGGCCGCATCCGCGGAACGACGGTCCATCCACTGGTGCTACAGCAGTAACCACAGCGCACAAGGAAGGTTCTGCAACCGCTGAGGAGGCTGCACGAAGTGTATCTGAAAAATATGTTGCAGCCTCTGCTTCCGGCGGTAGCTGTGTTTGCTCCCGCGATACAGCAATAGGCTGTTAGCATTGGAGAGCTTCGGGCCCCAGAGAGCTCCTCCTGGGTTGGTTGGGGGGTTACCCCAGTGAAATTGCACATAAGCTGCTGGCTTGATTCATCAATTAATGAAATGCCTTATACTGAATGCCTGATATGTGATTTGTAGACTAAATCTACGTGAAGTGACCTTCAGGGTAGCAGGGGGTGGTCAGTTGAGGGGCCGATCTGTCCCCAGATCACACGCCCGGCCCTCATCCCTGCTGCTGCTGCTGTTGCTGCTGCGGCTGCTGCTGCTGCTGGGGTTTCACCTCTCGATACACAACTCTGCTGTTACATTGAATGAATATAGGAAATCCGGCTGCTTTTATGCGCAAATTTTATTCCTTCTTTCTTCTACTTCAAGCACCAAGTAAGCTAAGACCGCCTCGAAACCCCTTCGATGCAGCGCTAGCTGCAGCAGCGGCAGTAGTAGCATTTGCCACTGCACTTTCTGCTGCTGTGGAGCAGTGGTATCCTCTTTTCCGCAGCTATCAGCACACCTAAAGATTAGTAGCTTACCGGTAGACTGCAAAGGCGGCTGTGTGTGTACAACTCAAAGCCCCAGCCAACCCTCCCACTGTGGTGTACCTACACCTTCATGCTGCACGAGCAGCAACACAGGCGTAATGAAGGCGTTCACACGGGCTTACTCACTCAGCTTCTGAACACCAAATTACTGTCAAAGTAACAATAGCAACAAGGTGCCGTTTACTGTCCCCTCCACCACTGGACAGCCGGAGGCCGCAAGGGCCCTTCAGAGAGCCCTGCGACAATGTTTTCCCATTCCTTACGCGTTCATCAAGTCTGTACTAGGCCTCTTATAGTGCCCAGAGGCGTTTTGAGGGCTCTTCAGGGGATCCCTGAGGGGTCCAAATGGGTTCGAAGGGGTCCAAGAGGGTCCAAAGGGCTGCTGGTCTTGCTCAATTAATTCAGGGACCTTGCAGAGTTCTCGTAATGGTTTAGGGTCTATGGTCTCGTGCCGTCTGTGACGTCTGGGTATGTTGTTTTCAGGATGGACTTTTTCACCAGCAGCCCTACAAAGGGCATGGTGTTTTCAGTGGGAACCGCCCGCTACACTTTGCCAGGCGACGTAATGAGTAGGTCGGAAGTGCAAAGTAGTGGTTTGGGAAGCCTCATGAGAAAAGAAGGCTTCAAAAACATACCCCCAAAGCTTAACAAAACGGAGGATGGGGCTATTATACTCGAGAGACCACAACAGTCTTTCGAGCTTCTCGTCGAGCACTTGCTCGGTAAGTTACAAACGCTGACCTTCGAGCATAAATGATGAAATCTGTAGCTTTAGCGAAGAATTTGCAGCGTAGTCAATCGTTTGGCCTGCACAGAGGAAGCGCTAAACTTTAAACTCTAAGTCCTTCGCCCTGGCACAAACCAATGAAAACAAAGCGCGTAATCCTAAAAGCTGGTTTAGCAGCTGCTCTATTAAACTGTAAATCCTTGATCCTAAGCCCTAAACCCTGCGACCCCAACCCAAAGGGCTAAACCTTAGAACGAGCCTGTAACATCCTCTGGTGTTCAATGCTCTTGGCAGCTGCCTCTGCTTCTCTGAGTAGAGACATGACCGTACATGCTGAAACCCTAAAACCCAAACGCTAAACCTTAAGCCTGGGACCCTTAACTGTTAAGCCTAGAATCTAGAAGAGAACCACAGGAAAGGTTTAGGATCTAGGACCTAGGCTCGAATTACAGTTCATAGTTCAGGGTTTAGGACATAGGATCTAGGCAGTAGGGTTTTTCGCTTAGCGTCAGTCTCCTCTGGCTTCCAATTCATCTTCCTGCTGCTGCTGACAGTTCTCACAAATAGCTTTTCAAAGCATCTATTCTTCGTGGAATTCCTTTTTCATTCCATTTGGTTATTCCGAACTGATGTTTGCTACTGCGTTTATTGCTGCTGCTGCTGGTGCTTCCGCTTCGGCCTCTGCTTCTGCTTCTGCAGCTGCTGCTGCCGCTGCTGTTGCCGTTGCTGCTTTTGTGCTGTTGCTGCTGACACTGTGACTGCTGCTGCTACTGATACTTCTCTATTTCAAAGCCATAAAGCGTCTCCGCACTTCTTAATGCAGCAGCTGGCCTCGAAGTACCAATTCTAAGACCTGAATCCTGAACCCTTAACTCTCAAGCGTTCGTACTGCCACATTTTAGGTCAGGAAAAAGACCCCTTGGCTGCTCTGCGAGTGTGTGCATTGGCTCATTAGCTTTGAAGGATTTAAGGGCTTAGAATCTCGTGCACAGCCATGAATTTCGCGATTTATTTGCATGCAGGCATGGAGCCTCTGCGGGGATGCCCCATGGCTGAATTCGCAGACAAGTATATCGCGCTGAAGTCTGAACTCCTTTACTGGCAATTGCCAACTCTTGATGTTGCCTTTGATGATTACCTCTTTTACCAATCCGCCTGGACAGGTGCACCTTAGAATATGCCGTATAGTGCATGGATTCAGGGATACATAGCGTGGAGGAGTCAAAGCTTCGCGATCCTGAACACTCCATTTTTTGTTTGTGTGATCACATTTCAGACTGGAATGTTTTCCCTCTATCCTTATTGTTTGAATTTTCCGTTATCCTTCCTTGTCTTCGTATTTACACACTGTTCGTCTTTCAGCTGTACTTCTGTGCATGTCCGTGTTCATAGTTCTACTCTTTTTTAGCCAGCTTTCTTGTGATTCTGCTTGCCTTAGTGCTTCGCTGTTTATCCGCTTGTTTCTGTCCTTTTGCTTCTCTTCTTCTTCGCAGTTACAAGGCTTCCTTGTCGTTATGTGCTTAGACCTGACTTGCCCGCTCGTTTTCGCTCTACCAGTGTAGTTTGTGCCACTTGCTAGATATTTGTGTGCACCGTGCAGCTCTTTTTGCTTGCTCAGCCTCCCCCTTGTTCCACTCTTCTTCGCTTTATTTTCGCCCGCCTAATTCTTGTCATCATTATCATATAGCGTAATTACTACACGCGGGCGTCTGCGTTTGTCGAAGGTCTTTTCTTGTTGATTAGTGTGCGCATACTTCTGTGAATTTCTTTGTCCAATCATTTCAGATGGTGATTGCTTTTTCCCTTTACGGAAGGAAGATTCAAAAGCATTCGCTCGAACAGATTTTGATGAACAAAAGCCACCGAACTTGCTGCAATTGTCAGCAGCAGCAACGCCACCCGAAATCGAGGGCCTTCTCGATGGACCCTCGGAGAATTGGCAGTGCTGGGCAACCCCTATGCCTCAAGGACACCATCAGCAGCTGCAACAGCAACAACAGCAGCGGCAGCAGAAAGACCAGCAGCAGGAAGAGCAAGACTCATCGCAGCATCAGCAACAACAGCAGCAGCAACAACAGCAAATCGTACAAAGTAGCGCACAACCCAATGGGCAGAACAGGCTTTACATTGTAGCAGGTCAGGGTCTACTCCATTCTAGACTGGGGAAACTGCTGTTTGCCGCTGGGACTATTTCACGTTGGCTTTGCTGCTGTGTTGTTGCTATATATTTATGTCCCTTTCCCTTTGTTAGCTCGCTTTGTATATTACTGACCCACACGCTGCGTTTGCTTCATTCTGTTGTTGTCCACTCGTACCGGTCGCTACATGCCTATGGCTATATCTCTGCCTCTGTTGCGCATCAGGCAAGGACCGCTTCCTTTGCTTGTGCTTTGGTTTATCTCGTCCTTGTGTTCACTTCAGTCAACTGCCAGACCGAGAAGACTTTACGCCCTTATTGTTGGTGGCGGCTCCAACAGATATGACACTCATTTGGTCACGTGGCGCCTTTATTCACTTGAAATGCATACAAAACAAGCAAAAGGAGAGCAAATTATCTTGTCAAATTCAACTTATCAACAAATCTCCCTCATGGCTCTGCGTACACCCAACACTAGGATCGGTTCTCTCAGGTTAGAAAGTTGTGCTGCTGTCATTTTAACTCTTTCTTTACTTTTGCTGCAGTTGCTTCAGGAATCGCTCCTGGTGAAGGTACTGCTACTGATAGTGTTGTTGGTGGCTCTGCTAATGGGGAAACGCGTCTGCCAAGTTTCTTTCTACTCTTGCTGCTTACAGTGCCGTTGCTGTTGTTGCTTTTTCTTTTGCCGCCACTGTAGCTGAAGGTGCCTCACTGATGGAGCAGCGGGAGGCTACAGGGGTGCTACTGCTAGTGGTTCTTCACTTGCCGCTGGTGCCAATGCAGCTTTTTGGGCGCTGCTGATGTGTATGCTTAGGCGTGGAAGGACCTGTCCCCAACATATTTTGTTTCGGAATGCCTCAAGGTAAAGTTGTCCGATTCTTTCCGTGGGGCGCTATCGCAATTAACGGCGAAGTCTTCTGCGAGCCACCAGCCAAGGCAGAAGGTCAGCAACAGCAATAACAGTAAAAGTGAAATATACACCATTAGCGCTAGTAGCGCCAGCAGCACAACCCAAGCCAACGTGAGTTCTTCTACGCATGGCGAGCTTTTCCGCTTTGCAGCGCCTATTGCTGTTACTGTAATTCAGAGGGAAACGGCGACTCGCAATCTCGTGGCATTTTGGAAGCCCTTGGGGTGTCTGCGCACCTCCCCGTGCAGTCGCAGCCTCGTGCTGCTTTGGCGGCGACACTTTTGCGTCTCTTCAACAAAGCATTCCAACCTCCTCTCCGCATTTTCTTTCTCAACGTCGACAAAGAGGTGAGAAAGAGGTTTTGGGTTTTGGGGTTCATATTTTGAGCGGAAGAAGTACAGAACTCGTTTTAGGGTTAAGCGTTGTAGAGGTTCAGACAGTAGTACTCAGGATTGAGGGCTCAGGGTTATGAACTCACAGGGCGGTTTCTTCCTTTAGGCGAGACCTGTGACATTGAAGCGCCTGGATGATTTTGACATCCATGATCTGCGTAATGAAGACGCTAGCGGTTACAACATCATGCTGGCTCTGAAGGGAGCCCTAGCTGAAACACGGGTGCTTCAATGCAAGAGCCTAAGCCCTAAACCCTAAACACCACGCCCTGAGAAAACAGGCCCCAGTGTCTCCGCGGTCGTGGCTGCAACATTTGGGCTGCTGCAGCAAGATTTGATCACTCCGGCAGCTGCATGGGGCGGTCCAGTGGCTTTAGCGCCTAGAGTTTTGGGTCTGATGCTTAAGTGTTCTTTGCAGGCTGATTTAGCATTTCCGGACAAGGTGAAGGGAGGAAAAAGCATATTCTTTCCCATTGACGCGGAAGGCAGATTAATGAACCAAAATCAAGTGCTGATAGACAGTGGGGGTCCACAAGGTGAAGAGCTCCTCTCCATAGCCCTCTACGCAGAATACGACTGCTCAACAAGTGAGAAGGCTTGTTCTGGAGTTATATGATGAACTTCTACTGCGTTGAACTAGCTTGAGCTTGGAGCTTGGGGTTTGTTTTAGGGGCGTGGACACGGCTGTCTGCTGGTCAGCATTCATACTTTGGAACTAGCATTTCGTGCATTTGGCCTTACACGTGGGTTTGTTTAGGGGTCGAGACCCTAAACTGTTAATGGTAAAAGTTGTTCGGGAACTCACACGGTCAAAAGTGCTAGGTTTGGGATGCAAGTTCTTCGTTTGCATTTTTCAGGGAAGTACTCTGCTTTTGAAACGGGAAAGAAGCTCTTCGATTTCCACAGGCAAATGTTCATGTCTCGCGCGTTAGGGCATTCAGGCAGCTGCCAAATAATGTAAATACAGCGATCAAGATTACTTATTTGTGCACACACCGACACAGCGCCACCACCATGTTATTCAAAGATGCGGCAAGACCGGCAGGTCGCATCTACACCGGAAAGGGCTTCTGGATAGTTAACAGACCCTCGAGAAGCCACATAATGACGCGGCTCTCTACATGCTGACTTGAGGCCCACAGCACTCATGGGAGGGCTCCAGATGGCTTACGTGGGGTCCTGCGTGCATAGGTATGCTGCCTGCATAGGTATGCATGCATACAGGATTACAGTAGTACAGAATCTCTCAGCTGCGGAAAATCGGCTGCGTGTTCGGCCCCAGCCACGATCAGGGCATTAGCAGGAGCAATAGCAACAGGAGTTGAAGCAGCGGCGCAGAAGCAACATCAGTAGTTGCACTGGCGGCTCCAACGCTGGCAGCCGTAGCCGCAGGAGCGCAGACTTAGTGTTTGTGTGGCCAGACCTCCAAATGGCTTGCCTAATGCTGAAGTTTGTGCTCCCAAACTTCAGAGCTCTCTGTCAGCCAAATGGGCCCCCAGTGAATTCTTTAGGAGCCCTTCGGTTGTCGCCTCAGCCTTCTAGGCGACGGACCTGATGGGGTTGTTTGGGACTTTTCGGGGCACCAGCAAAGAAATGGGGCCTGAATGTGTGCAGTGTGCCGGCTGTAAGAAGGCTGAAGCAGCCTGGGAGCTGATTACTTCCGTCTTTTGTTTGCCTTCAGCTCCGAACAATGATTACGATTTTCCACCTGGTGCTCTATGTCTACATGCATATCGCTCAAGAGTTGAGGGCTCTGGTGCTAGTTTGTGTTTGTCTCCATAAGATGCTTCACGAGCAATAGCATACGCACAATAACAGCAGCAGCTGCAGCTGGAATAGAAGAAGGTACTGGAGCAGCAACATGCGCATGCGAGTCGTTACACGAGCTGCCCCACCTTCCTTTCCCTGACGCTTTAGCATGCCGACGAAACGAAAGCAGAAGGTGGGGGAGAAGGCCTGCAGCCAGAGCAGCTTGCAAATTCTAACCACGTTGACGCACAGCTAAAAGTAACTGGCTGCTAGCGAGGACTATGCAAGCTGACGGCGAGTGCCGGCGCATCGCACAGCACTCTAGGGCCAGCCATAACAACACTGCCTGGCGTAGTGAGTGATAGCGAGTCACATCCTCATGTGTGCTGCCCTCCTTTGTTGGCTTCATCTCCATTCCTTCCACTTTGCTGTGGGGCCGATGACGCTTCGTAGTCAAGCGTCGTACTTTCTAAAATGCGGAATCTTACTGAGGAGCAGTAACAATAACTAGTGACTGATAGTGGTAGCAGACAGCATCGCAGGGCAGGCTCTTATAATGTGTTTAAAGTCAAAATCACAGTATCCCGAAAATAGATGACTCCGAATTTCACATTCGACGCACTCAGTTATACACCAGCATTATGGTTTCGGCATTTGGTCCTGTCTTTTATTTTGCAATTCAACTGTTGTTATCAATGAGAGAATCCCGAAACAAGTACTTAGGATCTGGCGTGCCTGGATGGGTTTTCTAGTTGGGTGACTGCTGCGTGAGGGCTCTCGTGGCGCTCGCCACGTGAAGTTGGAAGCTATACTGATAATCGTTTTCTACTACTGCGTTTCCTTATATTTTTACTTATAATGTTTCGCTGGCAGTTTTAACTTGAGTCCTGCTCCTCGCTTTCACGCGTGTCCTTTCCCTTGATGGAATGGGGGGTCATGTGCCGATGTCGATTGAGCAACATGAGCCTTCCACAGAATGTAAACGATGCTTAAGTTTAACTGAGCCTGTTGTGCATACTTTTTGTCCTACTACTGTTGCCCATGGGGCAGCAGCGAAGGACATGGCAGCAGTGGCAGCACGGGGAGAAACAGGACAAGCAACAGAGAAAGAAAGAGCAAACACAAATACAACTGGAGCAGCAGACGCGAGGTTCGCACCAACGGCAACCTTGGGGAATTCCGAAACAGCACACAACAGAGCAGAAAATGTGACAACAACGGTGACGGCGACCGCCACCATTTCGACAGCTCCAAAGCGCCCATCTGTACCATATTCAGGTGGTGAGAAGCACTTGCTGGCTGACTGTTTGTGGTCTCCTACCACAGCAACGGCGATTCCTGTTGGTACTATTGACGTCTCGCTGTTTCTTCGCTGCTTGGAAGCACCTGAACATGTGTCAGTACACTTCAAGGACGAAGTACAGCCTCTGCTGTCCCACCTGCAGTACCCGCAGCCGCAGCAGCAACATCATCAGGGCTTGTTGTTAAGGGTCGAGGGAGTTGTGACACGTCAGCAGTCACTGGGCCGTCGCCTTTGCTTCTTCGACATTATGCCGCAACATGCCGTAGCAGCAGCTGCAGCAGCTGCTGCTGCTGCTGCTGCGGAACCAACGGGGAAGACAACTCCGCCAGCTGGAGCCGTTGCAGATCCAACCTTGAAAGCAGGTGCAACATTAGGAACTGCATCAAGGAGCATCACAGCACGAAGTGGAGCAGCAGGAACAGCAGCTTCCCCAGTAGCTATACCGGCAACAGCACCACGAACAGCACCAGCTGCAGCAATAAATTGCATCGCCTTGTGCTGCAGTGTCTCTTCACCTGACTTGTGCGGGGTGGATGTGCACCGTAGTATTTTAAGGAAAATGAAAGCAGGAGATAATGTTGAAGCCCTTGGATTGCTTGAAGTTAAATGCGGCACCCAAGCCCTCAAACAGTATCGACAGAGACTCGTAGGCCCTTACTTATGAAAATGAGCACTAAATCCTGTAGAGATGCACATATTCATTCATAGCTGAGCCATTAGCCTTTCAGATTTCTTTGAGGTTGATACCTCATTCTTTTAGTTAACCACGTTATCTTCACAAGACCACGAAGTTTAGCTTCGCGCAGACTGCAAAACTCAGCCCTTGAGCACCTTTATGGCTGCTGCTGCTGGTGTTGCAGAGGGAAGCCGAGACAACAGAAGCCTTTGAGGCAACGATGATGGAGGTGATGAGAGTGATTGGCTTCAAGGTCTTGGCCCTTCGTGCCTGTAGAGCTGCAGATGCAGCAGCAGCGGCAGCAGCGGAGGTGGCTGCGAAAAAAGCGGCAGCAATAGCACTTGAGAAGGCACAACGTTCCCATGTGCTGCAAGGGGAACCACGCGCCGCGTTTTCCTTCCCCGTGGCAGCAACTGAGCCTGCAGCAGCAGCAGGGTCTGCGCCTTCAACAGCAGAAGGAAAACTAGCAGCAGCTGCGAAAGAACTGTCCCGAGTGTGCAAGGTCTACCTGCTAACTGGCAGCTGCAGGCGATTTGAGTGCCCTCTTTTGCATACGAGAGATGGAGTTCTGCGAAGACAGTTTGATATTCTCAAGGCGCAGAGACAGGTCAGACGCGTGCAGCAGCACCTGCAGCAACAGCAGCAAGGGAAACAGCAGCAGCAGCAAATGCTGCTACGGCCTCTGGCTGTTTCTTCACGTGAGAAACCACCTGGTGCGGTTTTTTCCGCAAGCACGCTGCAATCTCTTCCCGAGCAGCAGCAGACAGTTCAACTCTTGCAGCCGCAGCAGCACCAGCGTATCTACCCTCGCAGCTTGCGCGCTGCAGTGTTTGTGGAGTGGTTAGTCTCCACCTACGGCATTGATCGTCTCCGCCAAGGCACTGGAGTCGTTGAAATCGCGGGAGGAAGAGGCGAAGTGGCTTTTGAGCTCTCGCTCAAGTACAAAATACCAACTACCGTTATTGACCCTAGGTGTACATACACCCCGAAAAGCGACGAGGCACAAACTCCAGAAATACGCAGACAATGGGAACAGGTGCAACATGCTCTTTGGAGGAAAGACGCACCAGGTTATCCCTTTGAAAGCCTCCCGGGAAAATCTTCCTCGGGCTCCACGCCGCTTAGCGACGGATTACGCATGGGAGCCACTGGAGAACAAAGCATATCGAGAAAAATGCCCGTAGAGGGCTTGCCAAGCTCTTTAGAGCGTGAGGGGGACTGCTGCAGCTCAGTACCTGAGAGGGCTGCAGTATGCTCTGCTATGGCGGGGGGTAGCCGACGATCTCTTTTGTGCCCGCTGCGGTTGAATCGGCGTCAGAAACAGTGGCTACAGCAGCAGGAGGGACTGAGGGGTAAAGCTGCAGAAGCTGCCTTCACTGAATCAGTGGAGACGATTCCCGCAGTGTTTAATGAGGAGCTGATACGGCGAAGCCCTTATGTGAGAGACAAAGTACTCAATGCAGCGGCCATTGTGGGCCTCCACCCCGATGAAGCAGCAGGAGATATCGTGCAAACGGGCCTTCTCGTTCACGACTTGAGAATGAGCAGCAAGTGCATGGGCAGCGGCACCGACAGCAGCGACGACAGTACTGGTAGTGCTAGCAGCGGCGGGAGTGCTGGTAGTAGTGAAGAGAAGAACTGTAGACGTAGTGTCGGCGACGACAGGACTAAGGGTTGCAACAGCAGCAGCGCTTCTGGGGACAACAGCCGCGACTTCGTGCAAACACAGCGTCAACGTAGCACAGCACAGCAGAAGCGGCTGCAGCAGGAAGAACCAGAAGCAGCGCGTCGAGGACTGGTTCTTGCAGTTGTTCCTTGCTGCGTCTTCTCAGAGAAGTTCCCTTGCCGCCGTGTGCCCGCTGCTGCAGCAGAAGCAGCAGCAAAATTCCCAGCGGCAGCGGCAGCAGCCGCTACTGCTGTTCCTGCTGTGTTTCCTGGTGCAGTGGAGCCGTCGGCTGCAGCAGTAGCTGCGTCCGCTGATAGCCTTGACACTTCGTGTGTGGCTACGACTTCTGGTGCTGGCGATACTGCAACTGCTTCAAGCGCAGCAATATGTGCTCAAGGCTGTGCGCCCGCTGAGTGCCCCACTGCGCTGCAAAATTTGGCCCGAGCTATTCCTGGATGTACCTCAGTGTCGTATGTGACAGATAGAGAGAACCATTTGCTGCAGGAGCATTCTTTTGTTCCCGCAAGAAGCCGTAGAAAGCCTGTGGGGTCTGAAGGCAGGGTGGGCCCCGTAGGTCCTACGTGCATCGGTGCTCATTTGGGCGTTGGGACTGCTAGTATTTCTGGTCACCCTGACGGCTCTCTAATAAGGAGTGGTAGTGGGTTGGACGGTACTGTATGTGTTCGCACATATGAAGAATTACTGCTCTGGCTCCATTTGTTGGACCCTCGGCGACGTTTGCAGCAGCAAACGCTGCCACTGGTGGGAAAAAACCAAGTGCTGTTTTTGCCACCGTAATACTCTACTAAGGCTGCAGATAACTAAGAAACCCGGTGAATCCTTGGCACGTATCGTCTCACAACCCCCGGTAGTGCAGACTCGACGCTCGTTGCGTCTGCTCGCCCTGAAAGTAGGCATGGGAGCGCTAATATTGGCATCATAAAGTTCCCAGTGGTTCTGCTAGCCGGTCAGAGTGCAACAGTAAAACCTGCAGAGCCCTTCAGGTCAAGGCAGTGCTACGCATGCAGCGAATGGGCGGGTGTTTCGTTGCGCAACAAAATCAAGGAACTCGTTGAAGTGCGTGGGTTCCAATAATACGAGGCAAGGAGAAGTGGCATTTGGATTGAGCTCAAAATCGGTCGTACTGTGCTCCTAATTTCTAGGATATAGAATAGGGCTATGTGTAGGGTTGCGCGTTGGTAATACGATAATGCTGCGGGCCGATGGCCTCGACTGCAGATCAGTGGAGTGCGAATACCGAACTATTTTCTCCTGTGCTGGCCAAAGCCTTGAAGAATATGCTGCGGACTGCACTACCTGAAAAGCCATACACTCGTCGCCACTGCCAGCGCAGATTTCCTACTAGCATACTTAGCATACTTATTTGGCTTCGCCTCTTCCTGTTCACCTCCAACTTCATCGTTTTTCTCTCTTCAACGATTCTCCCTGATGAAGTGACAGCTTATTTAATGTCATACAAATGAATTTATTGTTTTCCCTCCCTCTCTTCGAAGGGTCACTCCGAACATCCATGCTTGTGATCTTGGATGCTTCCACAACTAGCACGCGAATATTTTCATGTATGAAGTCCAGAATTTGGATTTAAGGGATCTATTTGAAACAATCAATTAACAAGCCTATCCAATAACGCGACAAGGTCCAGCGACGACCACGCCTGAGCTACTTGGGGCCCCCAGGAAGTGAAAAGCCCCCAAAAAGACGATGACGAGAGTCGATAACGACGCCGAGTCTAATGTCCCCAATTCGATTTCCTTAATTTTAGATGCAAGCCACGAACATGAAAAGTGTCAACTCCTTCCAGCTACGGTGAGGCTTGCAGAGCCCTCGAGAAAAATGCGTAAGAGGCGTTAATGTCCTTGGTGTAAGGAGGCCCACTGGCAGCTTCTCACAAGCCAAAGATTTTCCATTCTCCTGAGAAAAGCGGTAGGAGCACTACTTCGGAATCGGTCCGGGTGAGAGGAAATAGCAGCGTGAGCAGTACGGCAACAGCAGCAGCAGCGACAACACCGTCAGTAGCAGCAGTATTAGCACCACAACCGAGAGCATTACATGTGCGTTCATTTGCAGCTCTGGAGTGGCCATAGAAAAGGCAACAGCAGGGAGGAGTGGAGCAGCTGGAGCAACCAAAGCATCGGCAACAGCAGCAGGGCTGCACAAGCAGCACGATCAAGAGCACCAACAGAAACTGCAACAAGATCAGGAGAACCCTCATGTGATGGAGGACGAGTATGACTTTGAGTACGAGTCCGATGGGGGCCCATGGGGTCCCGAGGAGGAAACGGCAGTGATTATAGAGAACCTTTACTATGAGGCCCAAGACTGCTTGCAGTCGAAACCTGAAAAGGCAAACTTCATATCCTAATTTTAAATATTAACTGAAAGTCCTTGCAGCAGCACATGCCTTCCCCGGAGCTTGAGCTGTTGCTCTTCTCTGACGGGGAAATGCCAGCAACATAATTCTAGACTTTTAACCGCTATCTAGGTTTCATGGGATACACGAGGGCCACGCACCGTGCGCAGCCAAAGTATTAGGACACAGCGCACGGACACTGCCAAAGAGGCTGCCGCCGAGGCTGTGCACACGCGGACTCAGGATCAGGCAAGCCTGTGCAGCAGGCATATAAGTTTTGAGGTGGGGACTCAAAGTATAGGTTTTGCTTTTTCAGGCCGTTGCCTTGCTTGAAGAGGTGCTGCAGCGGGAAGCAGAAGCAGCACAGCAGCCCTGGTCTTTCAAGTCACTGCTGTCTCTCACGCTGCTTTTCCTCAGAGGAGGTACAATGGCTGCAACTGCTGGTACTGCTGCTGTTGACTCTGTTGCTGGTGTTGCCCTTGGTTGTTCTGATACCGCTGTGTCACCTTATTGGGGTTGTTGCTGCACCGCCATTTTCTTAACCGCTATAGCTGTTGCTGTGTCTGTTACAGGAGATTTCCTGCGAGCAGGTGCGCACTACCGTCGGCTGTTGCAGCTGCTGTCTGCCGTTGCTTCTGGCGAAGCAACCGCGGCAGTAGAGGCAGTCTTATCTGCAGCAACTAAACTTGTAGGCATTCGGCAGTACGATGGACTACCTGACGTGTTTGCTACCGTTCCGCTGCAGCAGCAGCGGGACAGTAAAGAGCAGCAGCAGCAGCTGCAGCAGCGCAAATGTGTGAACCTCCACGTAGAACAAAACCAGGAGCAGCACTGCGACAAGGGCGAGATTTTCCAGTACGGTAGAAGTTCTCGCCAGTCTGGACCAGGAGCCTCTTTGCCTGTAGATGACGAGTTAAGGGATTCTGGTGGCCCCCGAGTTCCCCGTGAGGCACACCAGGGCGGGCACCCTATGGGAGAAGGAGAGCAACAGCTGGAAGGACTTATGCTGTGCACGCTGGACGCCCTAGAAACTCAGGGTCTCAAGGCAAGCAAACCGTTTGTCTCAACCCCTGAGAATGTGACTGGGAGTGTGGGCTTCTCCCAGACACACGAGAGCTACTATTCAAAGCTTTGTAGGACCTGTACAGGGAACTTAATTGTCTGTGTATTGACGCTGCAGCGCCTGCGGGCCCATGTATGCAGTCAATTACTGCGACTGTACATGCAGTTGGGGGAATGGTCCAAGGTATAGCTGCACTTGCCGTCATTGCCGTAAACCGTGGACCCCAAGCAGGAGTTCTCATCCTTTGTTGCTTTCATAGTGCATGTGCTGCTGTTTTGGGCCCTCGGGACTTCCAAGTCACTTCCAAACGGGCGCAGGGGGCTAATCTGAAACCCCCCTAGATGGCCTCCACAGTTCAACTCAGGCCTTTATTGGGGTTGCTTAGGCTGCGATTTTGTGTTCAATTTCGTGCAAAAATTTTGTCACATGTGTGCTCGCAGGCTGAAGATTTGCTGCCTCGGGTTCACCAGGCGGGCCGCGACCCTTCATTGCCACCCCACCAACAGCTGGAAGCAGCAGCAGTCGAAGTCCTTTGCTGCACGTACAGTCGAGATTGGAAGTTGCTGCAGCAGCTGCTGCCACACGCCCTGCGGTTGTCAGCAGCCTCCCTGGATCCCCGTAGTGCAGCAGCAGTCCGAGAGTGTGGGGCTCGGCTCCTCATAGAATTGCACGGACGCCCGGACCTGCAGCAGCGGCAGCAACAGCAAAATGACCAGCAGGAGCCACAGGGGCAGCACCAGCCATGGACTGATATTCATGCGCACCTTATGGCTGCGTTTCGGCACCATCAGGAGATCGGAGATGCACGGTAAGGCTTTCCACCCCCCTAAACTTAAAAGGCTTTGCCCTGAAACCCAAGCCTCAAGGCCAGTGGGCTGCCCACAGCATTTTTGGGTGAAGTCTCAGGATATACTTATTATCTGGATTTCCTTTTCCTTCCCCTAGACATCGTACTTTTTAATGAGGGTTTGGGGCTTCACTGACATGCAGGGCTGCAGCAGCTGCACTGCGACGTGCGGTCCTTTCTGCTCCTCTGGCTGCTTCTGATGTTGACCCCTTCAGTACGAGAGAAGGAAAAGCTCTGCAGGTGTGCTGTTGTTGCAGCAGCGTTAAGCTTAGTATTGCAATGCTGCATTAGTTGCTGTCATGACGCGCTGGGTGCCTTTAGTTGGTCTTTTATTGCTGCGTTGCGTGAAAAATGCCAGTTGTGTGCTGCCACTGTTGCTGATGCTGTTGTTGCATCCTCTGCAGGGAGACCCAGACGTGCAATCGGCGAAGGCGCTGCGGGCGGCGTTCGAGGCAAATGACGTTGCAGGCGTCGAGGAGGTGCAATAAGCCGTCTTACTTTAACAAATTATAAATTGTAGTTCAGAAACGTGAAATCCTTTAATCTTTAGTCCTTACAGCATCGACGGCAAGTGAGCTATGAAGCGCTCAATTTATGAACCTAAAGCGTTACTGCTAAACGTTTAGAACTTGATGCTGGATTATGAGCCCTAGCTTCTAAACCCGATAGCCATCTCCAGGGGAGTTCCTCTCAAAACCGCCAAATCTTAAGGTCTCAAGTTGCAGCCATCTATAGGGGAGTTCAATTTCAAGCCGTTGAAACTATAGCCTCCTCTCTCGATGTACAGTGCAACAACGGCGACCGTAGTGTGTCTGTGGTGAGGGCTAATGGTACCTGGTGTAGGGCCTAGGGCTCAGTGGTCGTTGCATGACGATGCATGTGATGCGTTAACAGCATCTGCAAATACTTGAGTCAGTGGACCCTTTCGCTTTACAATGTAGCGGCGCTCTGCTGCAAGCCGTACGGTGCGTATTCTAGACCGAAATTTCCGTTTTCGCTTAGTCCGGGTGAGAATATCCGCTTCAAGATTCTAGATTGCGAATGAGAAAATAGGGCAAAGCACTGTGTGTTTCTGTAGGTTGAGGCGCCTAAGGGCCATTGCTAATTTCTATTCGGCTTTTCCGCTCCTGAGGTTGCAGCAGACACTGCGCCTTTCAGGCGAAGAGACACGCCACTTGCTGTTGCAGGTGTGCCTTGCTCTGGCTAACGCTGAAGCTACTGCTTTCCCAACTACTGCTGCTGTTTCCAATGTTCGTCTTTCCGTGGTGCCGATACTGCAGCACTTCGCGGCGCTGCTGCTGTCGTTGCTGCAATTGGAGCTCTGCAGCACCACTAGTGTCCTGCAGAAGCACTAGTTTGCTTTTGTCTCATCCTATCGGTTCGCACTATACTCGTCAGCTCATCAAAATATGATGTATTCTATCTGTGAGGTGTGCGCACGTTGCGCAGGTCATACGTGAGGGTCAACTGCCTGCCCTTATTGATGATGAAGCAAACGTGCTGAGGGTGCGTTCCGTTATCCTGTCGTTACTGTTGCTGTGTACCTGTTACGGCTGCTGTTGTGTTGGCGGAGCCGTATTTCCTTTGCTACTGTAGCAGATGCAGCTGTGTTTGGAGCGTACGCGCAGCTGAAGAGTGCACAAAATGAGGAAGCAGTTGCCACTGGTAAGCTGCTACAGGAGTGGTGCTGCAAGGTGCACGACCTCGCTGGATACTTACATACATTCTGGCCTAAAGCATCTCAAGAGAGCGATCCTACACTTTAATTTCCAGGGCAGCCTCTGAGGAGTGCTCGTGGGGCCTGCATAAGAAATCCTACGAATTTCTTCCCATCGCCCTGAGCAGAGACACCCGCGTAGGCACCTATCGAGGCACCTACTATTATGCCTAGAGGTGCCACCAGAGACCCGCAGATATGCTGATATGTGAGCTGGCGCCAGCTGCTTTACTTTTAGTACAAGATGGCCCGTAGCAACCTTTGCAAGGTGCGGAGCCGTCGGCATATGCTTCCCTTTTTATTTGTTTGCCGTTCGTGAGGGGCGTTTTGCTGCTGCGTTGTTTGCGGAAAACTAAGAAGGTCCCGTAAGCCAAGCCAGTACCGGTGGCAGCAGGTTGTGCTGGAGCGGCTTCGGTCTCGGTGCTGAAAATCGTAGCCCTCCTCTTTGTATGCCACGTAAAGAACGCGCGACTTTTTGCTAGGCATATTTTGAAAGCAAGTAGAATGGCCAGTAGCAAACAAGTGCGACGAGCAGCAGCAGCAAAAAAGTAGGCACAGCACGTGCATCAGCGACAAAATATGCATCAGCAGTAGCACATTAAAACACAAATCATTATTCCTCGTACTTACCATCCGAAACACGAAAGCTTAAGCCAAACAGTTATCGCCGTCAGAGGTGTCCGTGCACCTCATCAGCAAAACAAATAAAATGTGTTCAGGTCGGCTTAGGTTGGACTGTCTGCTGCAGCGGCCTCGCTGCTTGCTGCATTTACTGAAACAGACGGTGCAGCCGCTGCAGCTAACATCGAAAAAGCAGCAAAAGGGGTAACTGCGCAGCGAGTGTCACTACGCAGCCACCATACAGCAACGGCGATTCTGTCCAGAAGCTGCGGCAAGAACAGTGAAAAGATGGATTCGCGTAGGGCCAAACCAAAATTTTCTGTTGGAACTCCTTTCATATGGCATAGGGGCCGCCTTCTTTGCTCGATAAACAGAAGGCTAGTGCACGCATTGACGATGCTGCTACCTCGACTGCAGCTGATGCTGTTGCTGCTCCAAGTGTTGTAGCCGAGAAAGGGCTGCAGCTAGACGCCCCTGCAGAGCCTCTTGCTGATCATTGGCCTTCTTAAGCTCCTGCGCTGCAGTGGCGAGCTGCTGAATGAGCTGCTGCTGCCGCTTCTGCTGTTGCTGCTGCTGCTGCTTCTGTTGCTGCTGCTCGTGTTTCAGGCGGATCTGTTGCAGCCGAAGTCGCCTTCGGTAATCTTCCAGCCGCATGCAAGTCTCTCTGCTAATTACTTCATCATGAAGTGAGAGACTTTGCAGATCAGCGTCGATCCACTGGTTGCGCTGCTGCAGTTGTTGCCACTGCTTTTGCTGTAGCTGCTCTTGCTGCTGTTGTTGCTGTGGCTGTTGTTGCTGCTTTGGCTGGCACTGCTGCTCCAGCTGGTGTATTAACTTCGGTTGTTGAAGTGCACGCTGCTGCACCGCATGCATCAACAACAACCTGAAAGGCCGGCGACATGCAGATCGATGCAACACCCGGCACATGCGCTCCACCACGATGGTAACGTACAGGTGTCGCTGCTGGAGCAGATGCTTTAGCTGCCGTCTTTCTTTCGGCTGATGCTGCTGTAGCTTCTTCTCGTGGCTTCTGTCCTGTGCGCAGAGGTCGGCTTCCTTATTCGCTGGCTCTGAAGGCGAAGCAGAAGAAGCAACAGGCGCTGGAGTTGCAACATCAACAGCTGTGGCTTCTCCGCAGGCAAAAGCTGCCACAGAAGAAGCCACTGTAGTGGATTCTGTTGCGGCAGCCGCGGCAGGAACGGCCGTTTCTTCTGCGGCCTTGAAATTCCCAGACCCAGCAGTGTTTTCAGTTCCTTGTAATACGCTGAGCTGCAGCTGCTGTTGTTGCTGCGGTTCGTATAGGAGTTGAGGTGACTGCTGCTGTTTGGAGGTGCATGTACTTCTTGCCTTGTCTTCTGTTGTGCATAGAACGTCGGCAACAATACAATGCTGCTGCCGCCCGTTCTGCTGCTGCTTGCGCATGCTGTGCTGCCGTAACTTCTGGGGGTGTTGCAGCAACTTCTGCAACTGCTGCTCCTCTCTCGAATGCAAGTGCTGCTGTTGATATTCCTCCTGCTCCTCCTGGACTCGTTGCTCCTTCATACGCATCATGTGGTAACGCGATTTCTCTGGACACTGGAGACGAGACTGCTGGTGGGGCTGCTTAACCACGTTCAGCGGAACCCTGGACGTAGGTACCTCCAAATCGCCGTGCTTTGCACTTAGTACTGTTGTTGTTTTCACTAATTTTGTCGTTGTCGTTGCTGCTCTGTTTCTGTTGCCACTTTTGCAGTTGCAGCTGCCAGTGCTGCTGCTTCTCTGTGTTGCAGTGGGGCTCCTATCACGATATCCTGAACGACTTGCATGCCTCAGTTGTGCACCCCAGTTGCTGCATAGCACAGCAGCAGCAATAGCAGGAGTGGCCTGTCTTGCATACAAATCAGCAACAGGGCGCCCTCCACAAGCATATTTCCCCAGATGTGGGCGGGGTATCCATTTTGTAGATGGCAAGAGCAGCTGCCCACAGCACACTGAAGCGGGGCTGACAGGCCTTGCTGGTGGTATTACTGCTGCCTCTGCTTCTGCTGAGTGTCGCTTTCCAAGATTATGGCCCGCTGCGGTGTTCACTGCTACAACAGGAGAAGGGCTGTCTCCGACAGCAGCTGCAGCAGCAGGCGCAGAAACAGCAGCAGCAGCAGACAAACCACCAGAGAGGGGCGCCAACCTTGCAGAGAGCTCTTGCTCAGGTTTGACTGCTAGGCTGAAATGGCATGTGGAGCTGCAGCAGCCATGGCAACTCCCGTAATCACTCACTGCAAGACGAACGCGCTCCTGTTGTTCCTGCTGCTGCTGTTGCTTCTTCCGCCGAAGTTGTTGGGGCCGTAGCATATAGTGCCATGAAGAACGATTCCCAGCCCTAATTCCGTCGTTACTCCTGCTTCTGCTACTGCTGCTGCTGTTTTTGTTGCTGCACCGCCGGCCGCACGGTGTCTGCAGCTCAGCAGCAGCAGCCGCAGCTGCTACTGCCACTTTTGGGCAGCTGTCGGGCATTTTCTCCGCCAAACTGGCAGGCTCCGATTGGCTGCAAAGTGTACCATGTGACTCTATTGCTACGGTCCGCCCAGTTTCTTGCTGCAGCACCCGAGGCCGTGGCGGGAGCCTGACGGAACCCTCAGGCTCCTCAGGACCCGCTTTAGGCCCGTGGTCCACTGAACGGATAGGGCAAGGCCATTTATGGGTGCTGCATGAATGTGCGGCTGCATAAGCGGCCCTGGATATTGTGCAGCGTGTTGCTGCTGTTGCTGCTGCGGCAGCTGCCGTGGCAGCCGCGGCTGTTACTGCTGCTGCCGCCGCAGCCGCTGTGTCTACAATTGCGGTTGCAGCTGTTTGAGCAGCATGGGGTAACGGCCTCGCAGGCGGATGTGGGCCCTCCTTAGCACCTCGTGAACGTGAGTACGGGGAGTTAAGCGGCAGAAAGCTCGCTGCTAGCTTTCCTATAACGGATGCGGCAGTTTCGCTGCTGCTTTTGCTACATCTGTCGTCACTGGCACTGTGTCGCTCTCTACTGTTGATACCGTAGGCCTTGTGTCTTTGAATAACAAGCAGGTGGGGCCGCTGCAGCGGGACCAAAGTATCTCCAGAGGGCGCTTCCATAGCTAGCTAGCTACCTGAAAAGCTGGCTATTCGCAGGCGCCCAATCAGGCGCAGCAGCAACAACAGAGCAGTTGCAACAGATGTGTGAACACCAGAATTCGCGGATTATCAAGAAAAAGCGAAGGCTTCTGCTGTCGCAGCTGGGCCGTCAACGGTGCTCAACGTGCAGCCCCCTCATCTATTGACACTGCTGATGCCGCCACCACTGTTGCCGCCCCAGCGGCTATGCCTACTCCAGGCCGTTTGTATTTCTGGTGTAAACATTCCCGTAGAGTCATGTGCAGCTGGCCCGGGGCACTTTCAACAGAAGACAGGGGCAAGATTGTGCCGACCCGCAGTGCTCCTCCAACGCAAAGATAAGACAGCTGTGCCTCTAACGGCACGGTAAAACTGCATGGAGCAAGGTTTTTGAGTAGAGCAAGAAAAATTAGTCTTTATTGGCCCCAGGATTGTGGTTAAGCTTCGAAAAGTCAAGCAGATGCATTGGGGCTGCTTCTACCGAGCCTGCTAGTGTGCTGTAGGCACGCCTGGTAGTAGAAATAAGCAGACAGAAAGGGCCCGAGAATACTCTCAGAGCAAATACGTTTGTTATCAAGAATTATGAAAGTTTAACCGAGAAGAATATGAATGGAAGATAAGGCATCGGGGTCTTACACCTGGTTGAGCTGGGATCTAGTAGCGCAAGGCGAGCTGCAGTTTCACCTAGGCTTCAGATAGTCGCAGTTTCTCATGAGTTGAAAGTAACAGAACATGTAAATGCGTCTATAAACCATAAGAAATATTGTTACAGGTGCACAGCACGCAGCCTGTAACCAGAATTAACACAAGTCATGCAGTAGTTGCATGAGTGAAGTTGCGTAGTAAAACAAGCACAAACACACCCAAGTATATAAGAGCACGCGGAGCACTCAGCCAGCCGTAAGTTTTCAGCTGATTTAGTTCGGCAAAGGCGCGGAAGGAGATGACTGCGCAGTGAATACGCTTAGATTCCGTTTTAATTAGAGTCGACGACAGAGAAACGGCGACTACGTGCACCTTATAGTGCTCGCCATGAAGTATCCAAAAAACAAGTATTTTACGTAAATTGCGCATGTAGTAAAAGCTCACTATATAGAGCCAAGTGCAACTAGAGCACGCCTGCACTTTGTACATCCACCAGGCATGCCTTTCGGTGTAGGCAGTATTACGTGGGAACCACCCAGCCTAGCCCTGTGCGTCTTTACCTTAAAATCCTCCTTGATATTTACTTATCTTTGCAGGATGAAGGCGGTTATGTAAGGCACTAGCTAACTGCCTTTCACGCAGCATCCTCCTCACCTCCGACGTTCTGTCCCCCTGCACACTTCTAGTCCTTAGCCAAGTAGAAGAGCTAAAACTTGGAGATTAAACCCTAAATTCCCGTCACTTCGCCTCTAAACAGGTGAGACTCAAACCTACTTTCGCAATGCTTGTTCTCGCATCTTCAAAGTTAAACCTCCAGTCCAGCCAGTTAACACCCCTAGCCAAAATAAACGCTGCGCACTGGGGGCTTAATTCTCTACTCTTGAATTGCTAGACCAGGGCCACTACACAACGAATTTTGAGGGAGGATCGTTCTCGCATGCATAAACATAAACGCTTGCTAGCTGGCAGGGCCCCTGCTGCTCTTCAGCCAACCACTGGCCCCACAGCTATACACCAGTACCCCATTAGGCCCAATAAAAATAATGCGGCACTCTTATAGCTTTCGAAATAATAAAAACGAGCCCTGGGAAGTAACACAGAGATAAAGCAGTGCCCCTGAGGCACGCACAAAGATTCAGAGGCCTATTGGATACCTTACAACACTGGATGTCCCTTCGCGACACTATTGGTAAGGCGTACACGTCTAGCCGTTTGCCGCACTCTTCGTCACTGGCAACGGCGAGAAAACATGTGCTGCAGACGTGAGCCACACGGCAGCAAACTCCTGCAGTACAGTAAGTGCTGCAGTTAATGAGTGGTACGACAGTGTCTGCTGCAGCAGACTGCGTGCTGCAGCAGGCTGCGTCCTGCAGCCAAGTGAATGCTGAAGGAAGTTAAATGCTGCATAAAAGTGAACGCTACAGCAGAGTGACAGGTGGAGCAGACTGGTTGCAACGGCAGAGTGATTGCTGCAGCAGCACCCTGCATCGAGCTACTGCACCAACAGGGCCGCGCAAACACTACGGCGAGACAAGCCAGCAGCACGCGGTAGCTGGCTCCTACTGCCACGAGAACTCAGCATGAGCAGCTGCCTCTTGATGCAGGTGTAGCCGCTGAAGCTGTAGCAATAGCAAAAGCCTAGCAGCGTCCGCTTAGAAGTCAATGTCTCCTGCTGCTGGGATTGCAGTGGAGAGAGATGGGTCAGCTCTGCTTGCCGGTCTGTCGAAGCGAATGACGTGCTCTTCCATCGCACTCAACGAATCCTGTGCCTCGGCTCCTGTCCGAATGTACCGCACGATTCTACGACACCGACAAGCAAAAACAAGCAAAAAAGAATTGCCGTGCACGCCATAATAGTTACAGAGAACGCACATGTCTGGGAAGATAAAAAGAACCACAGAACACGAATCAGCCGACAGGGGAAGGCAGCCTTCAGCGCCGAAGGACATTGCACAAAAAAAGCAAGAGGAAAGAGAAAATGCTGGGATGAATAAGCAAAACAAAAGGGACAAAAAATAAGGAAAAGGCGAAAGCACATCGACCTACCGAACAAACTGTGCAGCGTATCTTATGGTGAGGAGAATGACGGTCACAAACTCGTCCAGAGACTCAACAACTCCAACCTGAAAATATGCCACACAATTTCAAACGTGACAATCCAGCGTGGGCCTAACCCTGAATCGCTCCCTGCATGCCCGTTGCAGCTTTGACAGTTGTCCATGGCCACGGCACAGAAAAATCAAAGAAAGGTGCTGCTGTTACAGCAGCAACTGTCAGCACTGTCTTCATGCCACTGCTGCCACTGGCTTTTTTGAAATCTTCTCTCTCGTGTTTACATGAATCCCTACAAGCTGATGCACTACAACTTCAGACTTGTGCTGCCAACCTTCAAAACCAACCCTGTTGGCTGTTGTCACTGAAAGCGCTAATCACGAAAATCAAATATCTTACCACCTCCAAGAGGAGAAGCAACCAGCTGATAAAACAAACGACGGAAACTGCAAAGTCAAACACGTGCCACCCGCTAGTCCAGAACGGCTGCGCAGAACAAGCGAACGCAAAGCTTTGAGACACTGACGCATAAATCCTAGGCCTCGTGCCCAATGCTCACAGCATCCGCTGCTGCTGTGGGTGGGGGGATCAAATGTTTCTGAATCCGATTCATTACCTTGCCGAGGAGGATCATGTCCACTATTGTCTCGAAGCAAACAGCGAAGGTTATAAAGCCATCCAAAGCGCACACCCACACAGGTACTGGGTTCTTACGCTGCACGCAAAGCACAGATCACAGGTCTTGCACCCTCAATCGTAAGCCTTCAGCCCTCAGATGCTAGAGAGTCTCCCTGCCAAGGAAAAAGCTACTCCCGAAGCAATAGCGGCTGCCCCAAATCGTAGCGACAGCAGAGGTGGTTATGTGCAATGGCATATATCAGGAATGGAAATAGCGACTACGGCTGCAGCAATGAGAAACAACTGATGGCTCTTTCAGCAGGCGCTAATGTCACAATGCCAGCCTTCATTTCAGGTTTAATGGCCACGCCTCAGAGCTTAAAAATGCCCAAGAGACCCCGCGATTTGTCTTACAAAGTGCACATCTATGATCATGAAAATGACAAGGGACAGTGTCGCGACGGCCATGAGCGAGCAGTAAGCAAGATACCACCTTGACAAGCGGATGTTATATATGATGCCCTTGCCTATGTCGCTTTGGATAGAAAGCAACACGGCACTCTTCGCCTTTTTACGGGAAGATAACAGCGGATTCCCTTCACGGACTCGCCCTTGGGGCGTCCCATCCTCAATTGTTGACTCCATTTGCTCGTAGAGAAACCAGGTTGGACTTCAAGGGTTCACGGATGCCGCAAGGCCGGCGTATAGATGCTTATCCTGCGTCTTCTCCCTCTCTAGCTACGGACGACGTTGGCTTTGCGCGTTCGTTCACCTAGCGATCCCACGATTTGCACCTTCGAGCCTCAGCCTCTACAATATCGAAAACGGATGCCACTGCAGGCCATAGGGAGGTGCCGAAGGCGCCGCTGCAAGAAAAGAAAAACTCTAAAAGAGTTCTGGTTATGCGAATAGTGTGCTCAAGGTGCAAAAAGCATAAGTATCCCTCCATAGGTCACTGCTGAACAGCCGCAGCTGCCGCCCTTGACACAAGCACGAAAAGCCCCTTGTTGCTCCCAAAATTTTGGCGTTTTTCCTCTTTTTGTTTACCGTCAGACAAATTAAGTCGAAAATTTACATTTCTGTGTCCACCAAAATATGTTTAAGCTCAACAATGTACACGCAGGGGCCCCGCAGCCGCTCTAGGTACTACAGTGGTACAAGCCAATTCTTACACAAAGACGTCTCCTCATTCATGACATGCTTACCAGTCTTATTTGCGTTCTGATTGTTTTCTGATTATGTGGAACAATTTATTTGACCAGGCCGGACCAAAAGGTACCACCTTCTCTGCTACTTTTGAACATTTCGCGTGATTGCCAGTTCACTTCATCTGCAACTAATGCTGTACTTGAGAAAGATGTATTTCTGAAGGGGCAATTCTCCCCTTCAGAAATACATCTTTCTCAAGTATACATTTCACAGCTTTTGAAGCCTCTTCTGCCGCATTTGTCGCTCTTCCATGACTCTAGGATGGGCTGTGGGCAGGCTTCGTCAGTGAGTCTTAATGCAAGTATTGGGTTCTGAAGCCTGTTTCCCGCTTCTCGTCCGTCCTCCAACTTGCCTTACGGTGGATTTTCTTCGTGATGCTGCGACTATAGTTAGAGTACCCGCAAAGCAGTAAGCGCCAAGATGTTCAACATGAGTAGACCTCTGAAGCTCCAAGCCGTATCGGCCATCAGAAGCTACGACAATGCTGCTTTAGGAAGCAGCAGCAGGAGGCGGCGCTGCTAAAAGAGTAGGGGACTTCCCCCGCAGTCGGGGGCACCGGGCTACCTACCGAAGCAATGTGCCCATATCCATTTTTCACGACGCGGGAAACAATTTTTGTAGCAAACAGGGAGTTTGTGCACGCGTTCTTCACGTTGCTTTAAGACAGCAGCTGAGCCCTGCGCCACTACGCCAGAGTCGATGGTGAACAGTCGATGGTGAACAGTTCATTCGTTAACGGTTGATCCACGTGCAGACTGAACATTAACTATTGTTTTGGCGAACCAAACATTGCCTTTGATTCATGAGCGCTGAAAAGGGTAGCTTCGTATACCACGAAATACCGAAATGGCTCTTCCGGTCTGCCAAAGCCGGCAAACCTCTGAGTCCGCAAGCTTTCGTCCCATAGTCCTTGGGGAAAGCGATTCGCTGGATTGGCAGCGTCTTTCCCACTTGGGGCCTATGGCCCTTGGTAAGCACGGAAGCCTCAAGGTCCCTTTTATGTCGTCTATGCGGGAAAGTTATACGCGATGAAGGGTGGTGCGGTGGCCGAGTTGGATATTGCTGTAACACTTTGCAGGTGAATGTAGAAATAGCCAGCGTAGTGGCGAAATTCGACACACATAAAAACTAGTTAAAATTCACAGCAAGGATACGCGGTGGTGTCACGCTCTCCGTTGGTTATGAACTTCCACTGCTGCAGGGCGTGATGATCGGATATTACGATTTATTCCCTGTTAGCTTCTGGCAACCTTCAGCAGGTTCTCGCCTCAAGCAAGAATTTCCTCTGCGGACGCCTCAAGAAAAGTTCGAAAGAGTACCAGCAGTGGTAAACCGCAATGCCAATAGAATGGAACAATGGAAGGTGGCGCTTCGCAAGCTGATGCAGCTTAGCCCTTCATGCGAAGTGGCGGGGCTCGTACGTTTTGCGATCCTGGCTTTCAGTGTGTACTGCACAATGGAATGCACTTGGCGATGCATCCAAAGTACAAGCAGATCTGCCATCAGCAGATCTGCCGCCTACATGTGGACCGTTACATGTGGACCGTTGAGAACTCCGCTTCACAGCGTCAGCCCCAGTAGAGCAGTACACAATTCCATAGTAATTCAAGCCGCTGGAGCCCGCGCGTTTTCCCACCGTTGTCGCTGAGGCACGGCACCTCGTGTGAAAACGTTTTGTGAGCCAGGTACTACTACCAGCCAGCAACTACTACGCAGTGGGCTAACTCCCTTCATTTCTGCCATACACTCTGCATTTTACCACCTTTTACCGCTCTACTCGTGAACACCCTGACTATTTCGATCACATTCCACGTACTCCTGGAGATCGAGTGCTCGCGGCAGCCGAGCGCCGCTGCTGTAGCCGCTATCTGTGGCGCCATGCGCGACACACTGTTTGAATTCCCTCTCCACAAACTGAACGCTCCATTCCAGGGACTCTGCTTTCTTTGAGCTAGAGCGTTGCCTTTTTCACCTTCGTAGACGTGGCGCTGTCTACCATCACAGCAGAACTGTGTAAACCTTGGTTCTCGCACCGCACCCAGCCTCGCAGCCGACGGGCATCGTCAGTCCATTGTACATTGCCTCTCGCCAGCTCCCCTATCTATAGCCCTATTAAAATAATCCAATTTCATCCCATAAAGCCTCATCTGTAGGAGACCTCTTTCTGGATATGGTAGGGCAACACGGGCTTCAGATGATTGAAATGTCTCAGCTTCGGCAAGAACTGGGGGAAAGGCCGCCAGCGCATTCGAGTGCACCAGTTACATGCCGCTTATAAAAACATAACTTCTTGCCTCCGAAATTTGGTGAGCGCACGCACTGTACAAGCTGCGTGGAATATGTCAAATTATTGCTGCCGGTTTGGTTTCTCCACTTGAACAGCTCCCACCATGCAATTCCACCATTTTCAGCCGACAAAAATAGCCTCAGTCGTACTCTGTTTCTTATTCTAAACCTTGATATTAGCTGCCCCAAAGATAACACGTGGAGAACATGTGATTGCTGCTCCTGATCTTATCGGGTTGAAATTCCCACCTGCTCTGTTGATGCCCGGTTGCACTACAAAGCGGAACTTGGGGACCCCTATGGGCTGGCACGCAATGCATTAGACAGACACACTTTTTAACTGCAAAGGACCAAGCTTCATAACGAGAAAGGAAGCATTGTAGCATCGCTGGGCACCAACAGCTTCCTGTATTGGCAAGCGTCGGCACAAACAAGAGCTGCGACTATAATGTGTTGCCCGTTTTCTTCACGCACAGTACAACCATAGCAATTATTCCATCTTCAGTGCCTTTTAAAAGCTGTGCTTTTTGGTTTGCTCGGGAATGAAGGAGGCGCGCAGTTTACTTGTGTGCAGATGTATCATCGCCTACAGTGGACTACTTTCCTGCAGAACCTATGTTTCTGCAGAGCCGAAATATCATCAGTAAGTTCATGGGCTGTGGCTGAGACTGTGTGGAAACGGCATGGCTGCTTCTGCTCTTGGTGCTGGCTGCGCTTTTCTGCAGTGTGCTGCCATGTAGTCGGGCGCGAAGGACTACTGCACTCCGTAGTCGTAGCTCCGACACTAACGCGCAACAGTTCCTTTTTTGTTGAATCGTTACTATCTTCATGAACTTGGACTGTACCCATGGGCAACGGAAACAGGGTGACTGTGAGCTGAGCGTATGCCAGTAAACTTTACAGTGAAAGGCGTGTATTTCCGATAGAGAAACAGTCATGGAGTTTCTGTCATGCAGAAGAAGCATTGCCTTTTTTCAGAAATCGACTAGAGCAACCACGGACACTCAAGAGAGATAAAATACCTATAATGTGCCGAAGGCTTCAACGGCCGACATTTCTTGGCCGTTGGACTTGCGCAGTTGTGGTTCCTCCTACAGAACAGTACTATGCCGCTAGACGACTATTGATCCGCAACTAAAAAGCTCCAGATAAGTGATGCAAATTCTCTTCGCATGAATTTCAAACTGTTCTGGCTCTTGGCGAGTTCAGTTACTGAGCAAGCATACTGGAAACTGCGCGAATGCTGATCCCTTCGAGGCCAACTAAAGCTATTTTCATTGAAACTCGCAAAGTAAACATACAAATAGCTATTAATTGAGTGGAAAACAGTAAAAATTCAATGAAAAGCAACTAATTACTACAAGCGAGCCTGGCAAAGCACGCCGCGCAGCAACAAGCCGTCTCGCTCCACATGCCTTCCAAGATGTCTTGACATGCATTCGTCTCACTGCATATCAGCTGTTAATACTGCAATAGTTGATAAAATATATAACGAGTTTCTGAAAATGAACCTGCCACTGCCGGTTGCCTGTGTGTCGTCCCTGGTAGTGTTTTGTGTTGCCACAGTGAGCAACACTAGTCTTGAACAAGACTCAACACTGCTCCACCAAAATGATCATTTTGTGCATCGAGGAAACGATTTGAAGCATTTGAGCCCCTCTGCCCTTGTGAACAAGCTTGGGTATCGAAATCGCCGACTCATGGCCGCGTTCGTGCTAATAGTCACAACAGCGCTTGCATTTGTTGTTTTGCATTGTTTCAGGGCTCTCAATGCCCACGAGAAAACGTTCAAGTATGGAATTTCACGACGCCGCGTAGCGGAAGGAGGCGACACTTGTCATGTGAGTCGTCTCACAGAATGTCAAAGCAAAGTGCCTCTGGTGCGATTACCAATAGCAATTCAGTTAGCCATCATGGGGGGATGATACTGAACGGAGGGGACACAACACAACGTCCAAGCCACTAAGATGGGCCCAGAGTAGTTTGTAGAGCTCCTTTGTTGGCGGCAGGGCGTTCCACGTTAAAAATCGCTGGTGGACTAGAGTTTGTGATTGAACTCTTGTGCACCTCCTTTGAACGGAGCTTCGACATACGTTTATCGCTCAACTGCGAAGTCTGCGCATTCTCCAAAATGAAACCAGAGCTGCACT